GGTAAAGTAAAGTAGGATTACTTTACTTTACCCAGTAAAGTAAAGTAGGATTACTTTACTTTATCCAGTAAAGTAAAGCATTTTGCTTTACTTTACTTTACTTTAATAAAGTGAAATAAAGATAAAGTGCCACCCCTATCCCAGAAGCAAAAAAAAATAAAGCAATCATTATTTTATGATGACAAAGCTAAATGTCTATGCATTCAATAAAGGTAGAAAACGAATGCATTATAACAATAGATGTATATAAACTATGGTACAGTTACAGATTTATGAAAATGACGATGTTTTGTCATTAGCAAGAACTGATGTAAAACTAACGTTTGGAATATTATTAGATTCAACGTACCATTAAAAATGAATCATATGACAAACACGAAATCTTCTTTACCACTGAAATATATTTGAGCATTCAGATCTTATAATACGAAGGATCAATCATGAACTGAAATCGACTCTGACTAAGTTGGTAATAGTACAAATCAGCTCAGATCACCAAAAAACTTCAATAAAGGCTTGATTTGGATTATGAAATATTGTTTTCTGAATTAGTTTAATTTGGGCAATCAGTCCTAATTTTAACATATCAGGAAAAAAGTTACGTAAGCGCAAGCAAATCTTTTCTGTTACTTCATTTTATATTCTATATGAATTCTATAATAAACACACAATCACAACATCATGTACTCTTTTTGTTTTATTGTGTTCATTGCTTGATGATCTTAATGCAATTGTTCTTTTCCCGTCAAATGATATTTTATTGACATAATGACTGTCTTCTAATATAGTTAAGATATGTCTCATACAAATTTTCTTTTTTGTTTATTCAAAATACAAGACGTCCCTGAAAGTATGATCACTTTATAAATGTGTGTAATTCTATTATTGATCAAACTTAATCCTTGAAAACCGAATATCAATTCCACGGAACATTATGATAATTGATATAAACAATGTAACAAAATCCTATATTCAAAAACGAATAGTTTTTCAGATTAAGGTAGCATGATAGGTTATAGACTGAAAAACGAAACGGTTTTAGCTGACTTCTAAATGAGATAGTTAATTATTTAAAATAAAAGAATTTTTCTGGATGTAAATTTTTGTTTTGACAACTTCGTTTGTTCATAAATACAACGTGCAGTTTTGATTTTGTAATTGATATTAATGAGCATCACATCTAGCTCTCTTATGAAATCAGCCTTGGAATTTCGATATGATCTACTGTCACGATATGACATCTGAGAAAAGTGTTCTTTAGGTAGGATATAGAAGAATCAAAAAAAAGAAATTTCTATCTGAAATTTTGCCCATAACTAGGCTTCGTGATCCTTAGAATATCCTAAAATTTTTAGTCAAAACGAGTGCTTCGTTCTTGAGATATGACATGTTGGAAAAAACTTGATTTTGTGATATTTCATCGTTTTTCTTTCTTATCCAATATCTCAGCAGGAAAGAATCCGTTTTGGCTGAAAATTTCAGGATATTCTAAGGATCACAAAGCCTACTTATGGACAAAATTTCAGATCAAATTTTCATACTTTTGATTCTTCTATAAGATCGAATATTGCTTTCAAGGGATATTCAATAACTCTAGAAGAAGAACAAAAATAATTTTTTTTAGCTATAGGATGAACATACTAAAAGTGCATAACCTCTATCTTTGTGATCAGCTTTCTCCCGTTGTCAAAAAATATCTTCTCGGCTTCTAAGGAGTAATTTAAAACTTTTATTTTCATTTCAAAGAGGAGAGTAGTAAGTTTTTATTTCAAAAGATGAAGTTCATTAATGTTATAGTCGAAGTGTTCCCCTTCGGTTATAAGACGGTGGAAACGGATAATAAACACTCCTTTCCAGTTTAGCGGTAGTACAGTTGCCTGAAAAGCAGAAGATGCATGGTTCTATTCCTTGCGAAGTGAGATTATGCTTTTGCTCTGTTCTGTTGTCATATCATCACGTTGTTATTTCGCATATAACATCATCCAACAATTAAATGCTTTTATAACAAGGATAACGATTGCTTCAAATGTGCACAATAAAATCATCAAATACGTGATTGTTCTCAACGATATTTTTCCGAATAAAGGGATCACGTGATGGTGACGATCTCCGACGAGCTTAATAAACATTGAAGAATTATTTAGTTTTATTTCGATATTGTTTTTAGTTACAAATAATGACATATGTTGTCAAATGATTTCATTTGTATTGAATAATTTATAATGATTATTTACAAATGCACATTACAACTAAATCAGAAGAAGAATTCGATCCAGCAAAATTAATATGATAAAACGTATAGAATGAAAATTATTTCAATGATTATGACAAATGCATTAAATGTTAAATCTGAACGTTTCTTAATCATTTATTCGATACAACAAAAAGTTATTTGTTTGAAAAAATTTCATTATCTTACAAGGTACGACTGCATCTCATAGAATGTACAATCGTTAGCATATTCAACAACCAATAAGTTGTTATTATTAAGAAAAAATTCAAACAACTTTATATTTATATCTGAGAATAAATAGTTACGTTTTAATTGAATTTCTATTGATGTTAGTATCACAAGTCGTTTACTTTAAAAAAAAAGAAAAGAACTTAATGAACATTTGTCAATAATATATTCTATTAATTTATATTTAACATTGGATCTATAATGTGTTATTATATATGCTCAATATATATATATTTCAATTTGATATTACAATATTTCAACATGAATCATTCGAAAATCTTCTGTTAATAACAAAAACAAAAAATATAAATTCTTATCATCAAAGAATCTCAATTATTTATAAATTGATTTACAATTGACCATTATGGTTATTATTTATTGTTTCTTAATTAATGTAAATATTAAATATTTAACTGATCTTCATGGATAAATTATAAATGTATTTTTATTCGTATTGCTATGTTATTATACGATCGATCTTCATAAGTATCATAAATATTTAAATTATGGGAATATGCTGGTAGTGATATAAAACGAAAGTGTTAAATTATGAATTATTTGGACGTAATCAAATCATCAAACAAATTGATGAACTCAATGTTGATGTGTGAGGACACGCATCTAATATGAGAGGAAGCATGTTAGCGGTGATTCACCTTCACTTCTGCTCCTAATACCTTTCATTTATTCTTCTTTGTTTATCGTTCTTATTATTATTATTATTTCTTTCTTTCTTTCTTTCTTTCTATCTTTCTTTCTTCTTTGATCTCTCTTCTCTATCTTTTACATTACATTTATGTACGTTGATTCAAGGACATTTTAATTCATATAAAATAAACGAAGTTAAAGTTCGTCGCAACAAGCTGACAGATAACTAACTTTTGATAACATCATCATGCATAATTATAGCATAATGATCAATTGTAGTTACAATTGCAGTACGGTTCTTTCGTGATACTATTAGAGTGAAATTCTTCGTTGTAATTCGCTCTCAGGATTAGATAACTCTTCATTTATTTACAAATAAAATTTTCAGTATGAAAACTAAATTAGTTCTAGTCAGCTTCGCCATCGGGGCATTGATATCGTTGAGTACACCATAGAACAATGACGAGAGCCAGCACAAATACATCTTCTCTCGCATCCACATCTTCGGAAATATCAACAGAATACGATCCAGCCAATACTGGATATTCCTTTCGATGGATTCTTGCGATGAATTTGTCACCTTTTGTTAATATGTATTCGCCGCCAGTTATTGCTCCAGTCATCCGATCGATTGTATATTGACCGTTAACGGATTCGATAGTGAGTCGGTGGTGCCATGGAGGACCTATCTGTTGAATCTTAGCCAAATGGTAGTTTCCTGCTCTGGTGGCATAGACATTGAAGTAGAGATGAGAATCAGGCATTTCCTGACGAATTTTGATCAGTTGTGTGCCCTTGGCATTAAGCAAAGTGATTTTATCGCCGCAGGCAAGAAAGACAGAACGTACTGTGTAGGCAGCCTTGTCGTGCTCGTCGAAGATCACTAACCTCTGCTCTAAAGATAAAAGTTTCTCCTGAATTCGATAATGTCGAGAATGAACCATGTGCGTCTCTATAAGTACAATGTCCTCTAACATCATTACTCCTGTTTATATACTTAAGTGAAGGCCTTTCTCTTTCCTTTTTCTTTTTCTTTGTCATGTACATATACGACCGTCGTCATAAGAGAGCAGGTGCAAAATCATGTGTCATCCTTACTCGTGAAAGGATAATGACGACTATTATGCAACTACTTAGGCACATGCTTTCTTTTTGGTAGTTATGATAAATGTTTTAATCCGCGTGCTTGTTAAAGTGATTGGGTACTTCACGGAAAATTTCTATAGAGCATGTAAAACTTACCTTTTGCTTGTTGGAATCATATTTTTTCGTAAAAATATTAGCTTCTACTATATATAAAAAAATGTTTGATAAAAAAGAAATCTGAAAAATTTGGATGTGGACGTGTGCATATCTTCTGATAACTTAAGTGCAGATCCTGTTGATATGATTGTGCAAGATGAATGTGCGTAAATTATACGTGTGATACACAGATGATGAAATCCTGATTCTTTTGTCTTTTCATTGATGGAAAATTCGTTTTCTGTTTAAGTTTATTAGATTTACATTAGGTATTTACTAGGGTATACGTATAAGAACGGGTGTAGGTGCAGTATCGGAGGCATAAAAAGCTCCATTCACATCCACAGCCTTTTTTCTGATCTCAGGTAACCTGAAATTTATACATTATAAGAACGAGCTATCAACGAGCAACAATAATACACATCACCTTTTTTTTTTCTTAATTCT